TATATATATATAGATGGATAGATAGATTACAGATATATATACAATTTCTGTGGATTCCTTAAATGCCAGACATTTAATCTGCTTCTAGAACTTTAATGAGATGAGAACAAAGCTGTATTTTGGTTTGAACTATTACTGTGGTGTATTAAAAGCTTTATTCAGAAATGTTCCTCTAACTATTTGCTTGCATTCAAAGCGAAACGCTTATTTATGACAATATTATAACCACTAAAAATGGAACAGTTTTTATTTTACAACAAATTTTCATAAGCCAGTTTAGATTTTGAAAAACATAGTGATGAATTCATTTTCGACGTGCAGACAATGACCACGATTCTTATGGCCTTTCACGGCTAAAATTCTGATCAAAATTTCTCTGTCCAGTAAATAATCACATTTAATAAAATCAATAGATAGGACCAGTTGCTCCCAACTTATATTTACTCACTCTTTTCTTTTCTTTTTTTTTATTTTGGAAAAAGTTTATACCATCTTCTCCCAAAATCAGATTTATAGTTTTTCTTAACATATGTAATAACAACATATAGAGAATTTTGATAAAATTTAGAGTTTCTCATGTTTGCAATTTAATTATTTAAAATTATTTAAGCAAGATGAATTGTTTAGGATTTTAAAAAAAAATTCTTCATACATGAAGCTAATATGCGTTTGCTCACTTTTTGTTTAAAACAATAGATAATGAGAAAAAAATACTACAATGAGAAAAAAATATGGTCAAAACAACCAGAATATTACAAAATTTACCTTGCATCTGGCTTTATGGAAGCAATAAAAAACTCGATAATTTTTACAGAAGCTCTTTGGTAATGATTTTGATACAATTAATATTAAAATAAGTTTTTATAATAGGTGATAAAATTTGGTAAATGTGGTAACATATGGGGGTAAATTTATCATGATACTGTAGCGTATGGCATAAACACAGCTTATTCGGTTTATTTTACTTCTGAGTTTTGCATTTATTAGTAAATATTTGAAATAAGAACTAGTATTTTGAAAGCCAGTATTTTCTGTAAACCGTTACCATATGAACGTAAAAATTACCAAATGAATGATTTAATACCGTATATTTTATATTTCATTCGCAGATTATGGTTTTAGACCAAAAATTTTATTGCCATACATTAACATAAAGAATTTTTTTTCTCCGTGTAGTGATTGTTATTTCCTCGCTAATTTTTGGAGGCATGAAGTAGTGAGGCAAATTTTCGACGCAAATCACTTTCAATGTCCCTTTTCTCGTCTTAAAGAGCCTGATTCCATAAGATAAATCGATACGCATGGAAGCAATGCTCTTATAAAATTTTCCACAATTCTTTGATAAAATTTGGAAATGGAGGACCTATTTTTTTTTCAATTCACAGAAATAGTTCTTGTTGGATTTCGTATTAAGTTTGACTCTTCGTGAGAAAGTTTAAGAAACTATTCCAAACATTTCATTTTCCAAAGATGTAGCGGGATTCATGGCAAGAAGTCAATCAAACTAACCTCATCCTCAACTATAAACGGTGAAATTACCCCTAGTAGGGGTGCCCACTATAGATGTATAAACCACTAGATGTATAAACCACTGGACTAGATTTTAATGGCCATATCGGACTATACTTTAGCAATAATTTTATCTTGGCTCCAGTTGGGCAGAAAAATGGCTCAATATAGATGCTATAAAACATGCACCGAGGAGCAATATTGGGCTGTCTATATTTTTTTAATATTGGTCATGGAATGACTTTAGTTATTGGGGAAGAATAATTCTATATAGGGCTGATATTGGTTGAGAAGTGATTGTAAAATATCGGTTGAAATCGACAATTCTATATCGAGACGATATTGGCTAAATTATAGATATAAAATATTAGGTTAATCTAACAATTGTATATAGGGCCAATATCGGTCTTTTTTACCCTTATTGAATCAAGATTAATGATGGTCCAATGAGATGCAAGTTATTTTGCTGCTAGGGTATATATAAAAGGCGAAAGCAATTCTTTCAGAGTAGAAATTTTGTATTATAAAAAAAATCAATTAAATTACCGTATAATGTATATTATACTCTATAAAGTGTTGACTTACTAATGTTAACGGCTCACAGCCCCGGTATTTCACTATATTTAACTTCAGGTTTAAAAAAGAAGCATAAAAAATTTTTAAAAAATTATGATATGCTGATTTTATGATATTGCTTTCATCTTGAATGCATTTTTTATAAATTTCTCAAAAGACTATTTCTAACAAGCTTTTTCTTTTAAAATAATTTATTTCAGAAGCAAAATAAACTTTAAATTAACAAAAAATTAAAGTTTGACATAAAAAGGAAATAAAATTTATTGTAAGTATTCTTGCTTATGAATATCATGCAGAAACCCCCCAAAAATTAAACGTTAGTATTTTTCAAAGATATGATAAAAAGAAGGTAATAAATACAAAACCTTAAATTATATATATATATATAATTTAAGGGTTAAAAAAATTGCGAAATGATTTAAAGAAGTTGAAAAAAATGTTCTGGTTTTGAAACTATGTTTCATTTGCTGTAGTTATTAAAATCATGTATTTTGTTAATAAAATTATTAAAATTATCACAATTTAGTATAATATAAGTTGCTGTCGACTTATATTTAAATATTAATACAAAATTGGTTGTTTTCTACTGCATTATTTATTTAAACTTTATTACTAATAGTTTCTCTGTAACGCAAAATCATAGTAGAAACAAAGTAAAAACAAGCAAAATATATTTATCGTAAAAAAAGTTTTAAGAAAAAGAAATATTTACTGAACTGTACACTATTTCACAAATTTTTAAAAGTGTTTACAAATTTATCTGGTGAAACTTACGTCCCAATGTATAGAAAAACGAGCTTGCATAAATTGTTCATAGAAAAGTAATATTGTTCACGTTTCTTTAAAACAAAAATATAAATATTTGAAAATACTGTCATGTATTCTTTTTAAAAAAAAGAAACTTAAACAGGCAGAATTATCATATATTTAATGAACATTTTTAAAGAAAAATAACTATAAAGAGTGTTGTTTTTTACTATATAACTTATTAAATCTTTCTAGTAAATACTTATTTTAATGATTCCTATTTTATTGAAAAAAAGTATTTATTGGTCTATTAAAATTACCAAACCAATATACATTTTAAAACTTTTTCCAATTAGTGAATTGGTATAAAAAAATTACAATGCTTTTGTTTTAAAATAAATTATTTCTCTCTAAGGAAACTAAAATATATATTTTTAAACAACTTAAAATTTCTGATTTAATTTAATATTTAAAAAATTCGTATAAAGGATTTAAAATAATAACAAAAGTAATTTACTATAATCTCAATATAAAGCAATTATTAAATAATAATAATACAATTTAATTTTTCCTTACCTAAAGTTGATTGAAAGAAAACGGTGTAAACAATAATTTCACTCAACAAAATTACAGAAAGGTGCCAGTTCATTTTAGTGAATTTTTTGAATCCCTTTTTGGTGGTGATTATACTCTCACAGAAAAAGTAGTGGCAACTTTGGTTGTAGTGAATATCGCACCAGATTTCGAAACCTTTTATATTAACAGAGAGCGAAAAGAGCAGTGGCAATGATTTTGCGACTCCTTCCATGACGTCACTTTTTACTGACCATTCAGCGCCCGATTTCACACCTTCGCGGGGATTAGAAGGCCCAAAGAGGTAAAGATGAGATTGGCTAGAACTTGGGAACGTGGGATGCTTTGCCATCGCGGTTAAAGTGATTTAAAGGGTGTAATTAAAGCGTGCGAGTGTTGTGGAAGATATGCTGAAAAATGTACTAAAATGTTAAAAGTTTTAGGAAAAATTGCATTTTTTTAATGCATTTTTGGTTGCTAAGTATCTTAAAAAATATTATTTGGAATGAATAAGACTTTTATTACGTTTATTATGCTTTTACTTTTAAATTGCCTGAATAAACACAGGCTTAAAAATTAAACATTAAGATTTTTCTTTTTTTTTTCCTCTCTTCTTCTTACAGTTCGATAATATCAGTATATTAACTAAAAATTGAATCAAACAATCATTTAATTATTTAATATATTTGTTATTAAATATTTCAATTAGAAAATATTATTTACACTGAGAAAAACAGTACAGTCAAAACTACCAGAACATGGTAAATTTTGATTATTACTTTTTTTTAAAATCATTACCGAAGTTCTTCAGATAAAATTACCGAGTTCCTCGATGGTCCAATAGAATCAGAAAAAATGTAAATTTTATCATATTCTGGTAGTTTCGATCATATTTTTTACTCAGTGCAGGAAACTGAATATATGTACACTTTTACAAATTTGCGAAAGTAGTCAGATATTAAGGAACAATTTTATGCTAAAATATTATTTCTATTGACACAATTACTAATACATTATAAAATCAATGTTACATTAATTCTAGATGGCAATATTTTCTTGATTCGTGGGAAATCTTATTGTTATGATTTTTTTTTTATTTAGGCTTCAACTGTTCCCTCATTGGGAGGTGAAGACTTTTAAGTGAGCTTTAGGGACTTTAGGTTGTTAGGGATTGCTAGAAGGTCGAACAAACTATAGATGGAATTAGTTTTGACTACACATCAAAATTCCCAAATTGTTTGGTATTACGTACCTATTTACACAATATAATTCAGTATATAATATTTGCTATTAAAGCAGTAATTTGTCGTATTATTTGTTGTTAAAATTCTTTGTCTGAAATACATAGGCAATTTTATAATAACAAAAAAATACTATAACACACTCTTAAATGATTTTAACATGGATCGGTGATTTTCGTATGAATAGGAAAATTTTACCTTGCAATTTATCTAATTTTCGCCTAAAACGATAAATTCTTTATGAGGTAAAGAACCTCTGGTGAGGTTATGAACCTCTAAAATCTTAAAATAGAATTTAAAAAATAACCTTGTTTACTTTTAATGTTTTATCAAATTTTTAATTCTAGAAAATTAATTACAGGCTGGCTACTAATTACTGCGACACTTAAAAAAGTAGGAAATTATTTTAATCACTGAGTAAAACAATTTGTTTCTCACTATTCCTGTGAGTGGCTCTTTCTATAAAGGTAGATGATTTTTGCTTAAAGCGAAACATTTAGAATAAATTCAAGGATGAAATTGAAAAGTCTGATGGTTAAACAGCTTTTCGATCACCTATTTAACCCCGTAGAATCTTTAAACAATTAAAATCTCTTGGGTTTAATCGAACATTTATATATAGAACTATAAATCGATTATTGGATACTAACAAGTATAAAAATTGACCCAGATCTGTTCGTCTACGCTCAATTCGTACAAAAGAGATCTTTAAAAGAATTAGTGAAAAGATTCACAACACTCTGTTAATAAAATGGCTGCTAAAGAGAACGTGAGATGAAGAACTATGCAAATTATATTAAATGAAGACCTGGGTTTTGCCCTCATTGCTAAAGAAAAGTTTTAGGTTTGACAACTGCACAAAAATTAAAAAGATACAAAAATATAAGAAATTGCTAAGCGGACGCAGCGCCAAAAGTGTTGACAGAATATGATGTTTCTGATGGGAAAATATTTTGCACAGAGTTCTAATGCTAAGTTCTAAGTTCTGCTAAGTTCTAAGTTTGCTAAGTTCTAATGCTAAAAATAATGCTGTATATGCAGCAGCTTTTGATGATGTGCCTGAAAGTGTACGAACAGCGCAATGTTTTTAGAACATGTATTCTGTAATGGTCCTCGAAATTCATCGATAAAGGGGTAAAAATCTGTGCTGAATATTATTAAAAAGGAAGTATTGACTGCACTTTTATTGTCACATTCTGACAGATGGTATCCCAAAATCGATTGGATATTTTAGCAAGATTCTGCACCGTAAAACCGGGTCAAAACAAAACAAGCTTGGTTGCATGTCAATTGATCGAAATTTATTAAGCCAGAAGAGTGGCTCCCTGCTTCACCAGATTTGAATCCTTTAGACTATTGTGATTGGGGTATTCTAGAATCTATAAATAATGCTAAGCAGAACAGAAGTTTGGACACTCTCAGAGCTTCTTGATTGCGTGAATTCGATGGTGGTCAATTCGAATAAAGCAATTTTAAGGTAAACTTCCATACATAGTGTTAATCATAGTTTTATATTTATTATTTTCTACCAAATATCTCTACAATAAACTGATTCAATATTTGTAACATTATTTTGTAGCCACCCTTTAAATATGTGTAAACCAAATAATTTTAAGGTACTTTATATGCGAAGTTTCGTTAAAAATGTATTGAAAAAAGCTGTTAATTAATTCAATTGCTTAATTAAAAGTCATTAAAAATGCGTTTTCCGCAACAATTTGTTTTTCAAAATCAATTTGTTATTATATTTTTGTTACAAATAAGGTTTACAAGGAATTTCATTTGAAACGAATACATCAGTTAAAATTTCATAAAATCAGTTAATACATTTTTGATGCTATTTCAAGTAACATTTGTTGTAAACCTTATTTGTAACCAAAGTCTTTAAAAAATGCTACATAATTTTTAAAGATTTGTAATGCAAGGAACTTGTTTTTAATAGGATGTAAAAGTACTATATGTTAATTAACATCTGCAGCATTCTTTTTAATATTTTCATTTGAAACTTGATACATGGGTTATGCTGTATTTGCAGAGCAAACGCCTACAAGTAGGTTTCTATCATCAAAAATAATAAAAATCATTTTAGAAGTTCACGAATCCTTTTCTTTTACCTTGCATTTTATTTTAGAAAGTTTTAATTCGAAAACTTTAACTCACGAATGCCAACTGCTCCGCTTTCTGCAAAAGTTTTAATAAATTGGCAGCGAATTAAGTTTTTTAAGTTTCAAGAATTTTTAAAGAGTCACTTCGAGAGGACAGCAAAATGTTGCCTTTCATAAGGTGCTTTGAATTTTTGAAATGTAGTGGTGGAAAAATTACTTAAAACGAAAAGTAACTTAAATTTCACTACCACTAGAAAATATTTTTTAATAAGGCAGAGCAAGTTGGTATCTGTGTTAAGTATGTACTTTTTTTTTCATTTTCCATAACCACTACCCTCTTTTTAAAAATAAATCTTGAATATGTCTTTAAGTAAATTTGTTTGTTTAATTTATCTGTCTCCTCCTTTGTTTAATAATTCAAATGAATATTACAAAATACAATTTACTCAGGATTTCTTATTGTTTACTTATTAGTTATATTCTCTGATTTGATTTTGAAATATATCTGTCTTAATAATAGTTGTAATTAAAAACTCTGGTGATAGATATTGCAAATCAACCTAATGGCATTCACGAAAGATATCACTTGTTTCTCATTTCTTTTATAATATATAAAAATATATAATACTAAATTATATATTTAATTTAAACTGAAAAGTAATATATTGAACTGATTGTTATGTAAACACGTTGAACCACATGCGAGTATTTTCATCAAAATTAGAATATAAAATTTTTCCAAAATAAATATATTTTCATTATTTTGAAGGACTGGTTATAGAAGACTATCATAATATAAAAGAACTAGTATATAAAACTTTTCCAGTATTATATTGGTCATTAGATATGTTTTCATAACCTTAAGGGAATGATTACAGAAGTGTATTATAACAAAAAAGAATTAGAATATAAAAGGTTTCCAAAATAAATACATGATAATTAAGTATATTTTCATTACATTAAAGGCATTGTCATAGTGTATAATAACAAACAAATTTAGAGTCTTAAAATGGGACGAAAAATGCTGTGAATTATTTATAACTATTTTTCGAGAGGGAACGTTGAAATTTTTTAACTTTCAAAATGGGTGGTATTCCAAAAGTGGTTGGGATCCTATGATTTAAATCTTAATCCAAGTTTTGGTTATCATCTTTGGCTATCAAAAACTGTTAAATCATTTAGTGAGGCTATAATACTTGTACTCATAAATTATTATTTTTTCAACTAGATTAATATTGTTTTATGACGTGCATGTATAATAGTGTACAATGAATATATTTTCTTTGCTTGAATATATTTAATATTTTTTAAATATGTTATGTAATATAAAAACTATTTAATTTCATAATTCACTGGGATATCAGAAACTATTAAGTCATTTAGTAAGGCTATAATACTTGTTCTCATAAATTATTATTTTTAAACTAGATTAATATTGTTTTATGATGTGCATGTATAATAGTATACAATGAATGTATTTTCTTTGCTTGAATATATTTAATATTTTTTAAATATGTTATGTAATATAAAAACTATTTAATTTCATAATTCACTGGGATATCAGAAACTATTAAGTCATTTAGTAAGGCTATACTACTTGTTCTCATAAATTATTATTTTTAAACTAGATTAATATTGTTTTATGACGTGCATGTATAATATTGTACAATGAATGTATTTTCTTTGCTTGAATATATTTAATATTTTTTAAATATGTCATGTAATATAAAAACTATTTAATTTCATAATTCACCTCTTTGAAAGAAAGCAATTTTATTTCTGTACATTAAAATAGCTAGATAATACTTTCAATGACATCGTACTAGCATTATGTCTTTATTTCCTGTAACAAA